ATCATCAACACACAGCATGTATACATGACAATCATCAACACACAGCATGTACACATGACAATCATCAACACACAGCATGTATACATGACAATCAACACACAGCATGTACACATGACAATCATCAACACACAGCATGTATACATGACAATCATCAACACACAGCATGTACACATGACAATCATCAACACACAGCATGTATACATGACAATCATCAACACACAACATGTATACATGACAATCATCAACACACAACATGTACACATGACAATCAACACACAACATGTACACATGGCACACATACACAACACGTGTATTTAATGTGTACATAATAACATGTACACATGACACACAGTCCTCCACTAGCGCCTCAGTCGTGTCACATCTTTAAATATTCACAAGTTACATAAAGAATGTTCTCAAAATACTGTAAACCAACATTTTTTTTTGTCTTACATATTCTGAATATTGAAGCACATAATCATATCTAAATTTCCCTTATATTGTGTCTTCTACATTGTTTAATCATGTGGACGAGTACATGTATGTCTATGAGAATGTGTACACATGTATGTGTACATAAGTGTTCGTGGGATGGGCTTTGGAGCGACATGTTTGTGTGTATGTATGTGTGATCTCAGACATATTATAGTGATAGCAGATAACTGTGTACATTGTTGTGTGCGTATTTGTAGTACATGGAATTGTGTGTGGTTTCTTATGTATGCAAGTGTATGTATAATGATGTATGAGTAAGGTGTTTAAACGTATAAATATTTGTGAAAATACTTATATATGTGTATGAAAGCAATTTCTGCGCTTGTTAGGCTTTGAGTGCCAAATGTAAACGACGGATAAATATACAAAAATGAAAGCAGTGTAATATTTAAGACAGTTATGATGGTGGTGGACAAATTAACCAACACTCGGGTATTCATCTGCAATAATAAAACACTCACAAATACTTTTAAACAGCTAAATAAGTAAAAATCAACTTGTTCTTCGTATATTTTCATAGTGTAACATAAAAGGATTTCCAAAATTTACGTTAATTAGCCCCTCCGAGGTGGCGGAACTGTGAGGCAGCTTGGTGGCGTCTAGCTGACCTACGGTCGCGGCTGTCTTGGTGGATGTAATTACTGGACGCAGTTTTCTGTGTGTGTCACCTCCAGTAATTCCACCCACCTGGACAGTCTCTACCGTAGACCAGCTAGACAAGACCGAGTTTCCATGCAGCGAGGTCACTGAGGGTGGCAACCGCTGACTCTGGGGAAGTGGGGAAGGGAGTCCACCTGAGGTGACACTAGTGGACTCCTGGAAACACTGATCCAGGGAAGGCACCGCTGACTCTGAGGAAGTGAGGAAGGAAGTCCACTCAGGTGACACAAGTGGACTCCTGGAGACACTGATCCGGGGAAGGCACCGCTGACTCTGGGGGAGTGGGGAAGGGAGTCCACTCAGGTGACACAAGTGGGCTCCTGGAGACACTGATCCGGGGAAGGCACCGCCAACCTTAGGGAAATGGGGAAGGGAAGACATCCGGAGCGAGCGGATGGATTCCTGGATACATGAACTTGAGGAAGGTTGTTGTTGAGGCTGACCTTAGGCAAGTGGGGAAGGGGAGACATCCGGGAGCGAACGGATGGATTCCTGGATGCATGAACCTGAGCAATGCAAGAATACATGCAGTTGAGGCTGACCTTGGGTAAGTGGGGAAGGGAAGATATCCGGCGGTAGACGGATGGATTCCTGGATACATGATCCTGGAGACGGCAAGAATACCGCTGACCTTGGGGAAGTGGGGAAGGGAGTCCACTAAGGTGACATAAGTGGACTCCTGGAGACACAGATCCGGGGAAGGCACCGCCGACCTTAGGGAAATGGGGAAGGGAAGACATCCGGGAGCGAACGGATGAATTCCTGGATACATGAACTTGTGGAAGGTTGTTGTTGAGGCTGGCCTTAGGTAAGTGGGGAAGGGGAGACATCCGGGAGCGAGCGGATGGATTCCTGGATACATGAACCTGGGCAAGGCAAGAATACATGCAGTTGACGCTGACCTTGGGTAAGTAGGGAACGGAAGATATCCGGCGGTAGACGGAAGGATTCCTGGATACATGATCCTGGGAACGGCAAGAATACCGCTGACCTTGGGGAAGTGGGGAAGGGAGTTCACCTGAGGTGACATAAGTGGACTCCTGGAGACACTGATCCGGGGAAGGCACCGCCGACCTTAGGGAAATGGGGAAGGGAAGACATCCGGGAGCGAGCGGATGGATTCCTGGATACATGAACTTGGGGAAGGTTGTTGTTGAGGCTGACCTTGGGTAAGTGGGAAATGGGAGACATCCGGGAGCGAGCGGATGGATTCCTGGATACATGAACCTGGGCAAGGCAAGAATACATGCAGTTGAGGCTGACCTTGGGTAAGTAGGGAAGGGAAGATATCCGGCGGTAGACGGAAGGATTCCTGGATACATGAACCTGGGGACAGCAAGAATACAGGTTGGTGAGGAAGGGAAAACATCCGGAGGCAGACAGATGGATTCCTGGATACATGAACCTGGGGAAGGCTGAGGCTGGAAGGCAGAGAGAGAAAGAGAGGCGAGGCTGACCTTAGGGAAGTGAGGAAAGGGAGACATCCGGGGGCCCACGGATGAATTCCTGGACACATGAACCTGGGGAAGGCGAGGGGGGGGGGTGGGACCTTAAAGACGAACCACTGGCCTCCACGTGGCAAGGTCTGGTAACTCAGAGATAACTCTGAGGCTGACAGTGGTCGCTAATATATTATAATTCATTATAATTTATTATTATTATTATTATTATTATTATTATTATTATTATTATTATTCTTTGTTATTATTATTATTATTATAAGATTCGCCGGCATTCTCCCGGCCCGTGCCTTTTCCAAGTGGTGGCCCGGCCTTGGCTCCCTCTTTAGGGGGTGTCTGAGACCTAAGTCTCCCATGGGAGGAGGCACAAGTACCTCCTCATCTTTGGGACCAACTGTCCCCAGGCCTAGCCACCAGCTAGGCCTCTCTGGTCTGCCATCCCCGCCCCAAGGGGGCTAATGGGAATGACAGTCTTATGAGCTAAAAGCTCCGGCTCAGGCACCTGCCCTACCCTAGAAGGGCTGGGCATGGTGTCGATGTTATTATTATCATTTGTTATTATTATTATTATTATTATTATTATTATTATTATTATTATTTGTTATTATTATTATTATAATTATTATTATTGTTATTATTATTATTATTATTATTATTGTTATTATTATTATTATTATTATTATTATTATTATTATTATTATTATTATTCATGATTTGGATTCAAAAGCGTCAACCAGCCTCCCTGACAGTAGCATTGGTGGTGTTATTCCCACTCCAGCCTCCCTGACAGTAGCATCGGTGGTGTTATTCCCACTCCAGCCTCCCTGACAGTAGCATCGGTGGTGTTATTCCCACTCCAGCCTCCCTGACAGTAGCATCGGTGGTGTTATTCCCACTCCAGCCTCCCTGACAGTAGCATCGGTGGTGTTATTCCCACTCCAGCCTCCCTGCCTCTATTAGCAGACACGTACCAGTGAATACTAGGTCAACCTACTGATACTTATCTAGCATCTAGACTGTTTTTGCTCTGTTACAATTTTTTTTAATACATCGGCCGTTTCCCACCGAAGCAGAATGACCCGAAAATGAAGAAACACTTTCATCATCATTCACTCCATCAACGTCATGTCCAGAAGTGTGCCTACGCTATAGTTTAAAACTACACCATATTCACCTATCCTTTAGTGCTCAGGCACTGTACTTTCCACCTTCAGGACTCTTGTTCGGCTAACCGGTTTCCCCTGAATCCCTTCATAAATATTACTTTACTCACACTCCAACAGCACATAATCATAAAAAGCATTTACCTTCACTTCTATCACTAACGCACGCTTGCTTGAAGTCCAAGCCCCTCACACACAAAACCTTCTTTATCATCTCCCTCCAACTTTTCCTACGACCTTTCACTGGACCTAGCAGTGACTTCTCACTGGACTATTACAACCCAGGAGTCCAAATGGCCTGTTATCCTGGGTGTAAAGGGAACAAAATAAACACAGCAGAAAACTTTTGACTTATATTAACCTTCACCAATTTAGAACAGAAGTATGTACACTATATACACTATGTACAGTGATAGGTATTAGTGCACTCCACGGTAAGCAAGGCAGAACAGAAGCCACTAGAGAGCAGACCGTGCTTCAACCTGCTCTAGAATGGGAATGACAAGGGCAGACAGGAGAGTGGTACCCACATAACCTCTGCGATTGCCAAAACCATCTTCTCATTGGCTGGAACTTGGGTACTAGTTGAACGACGGGGCCCCATCGTCAACCTTCAGTCCCCTGGTTCACTGGTTGGGGAGATAGCCTGTAAATGAGGGTGTGTACATGCGCCGAATAAAGGTTACGTACTCTTTGCATGCCACATGGACCTAGCAGTGACACTTCTCACTGGACCTAGCAGTGACACTTCCCACTGGACCTAGCAGTGACACTTCTCACTGGACCAACATGAAAGAAAGAGCATTATCACCGTCTACCTGTTTCTTCAAAGTGTTGGGTGAACATCAGCCCTAGAAAGAAAGTGCAGAGGCACTTATTTAAAAGGCACATTTAACACCATCCCTATAAATCCACATTAGATTCTGCTTTGTTTTGTATTGTAATTAACGAAGTGGCAATCCCGTGAGGGCCATTCAACACACGGAGGTTTACTTTTGGTCGGTCGTGGACTCAGTCCTCGGAAAGAGGATTTAGAACGTAATCACATTTCACACTAGAAGGAAACTGGGCTTGAAATAAATAATAATAATAATAATAATAATAATAATGAAAGCAAAATTACTACTACTTCTACTACCACTAATAATAATATTTTGTTACTGTTACTATTATTACTATTGTTTATTATTATTATTATTATTATTATTATTAGTAGTAGTAGTAGTAATAGTAGTAGTAGTAGTAGTTGTAGTAGTAGTAGTAGTTCTATTATTAAGGAAAAAATATAGTAATAAATAATGAAACTGATGATAATAATAATAATAGCAATATTATTAATTTTTCCAGTAAAATATTTTCATATTATGACAAAATAGACAATGTGATTGTATTTGCCATTCTTAGTGATGTCAGGAATATGATGGTGTTTAGCAGGAAGTCACTGATGAAGTAAGTTATTGTAACCTCAATTCTCGTACATTAATATAATTTTTCCTATCATACATGTGTGCTTCGAGATCTCAGGTGAAATCAAAGCACATACTGAGTTGCAAGTTGCACTCTTAATAACGTTTATCATATGATATAAAAATATTTAATGTTAAATGTCTTTAAAATTTATAATAATTCATTATGGAAAGATCATCATGTTGGGAGTTGTAGACAGAGTTTGTGAACTTGTCTTACAAAGCAACAAAAGTTTTCTCCAGACAAACAGAGTGTAATATTATTGTTTAATAACTTCGCGGAAATTAGCTGTAGATAAGAATATTATATGCAAATTCACAAAGTATGTATTAGCCCCCTAGAGTGAAGTACCTTGATGCCGTTGAAGGGCATTTGATCCATTTGATCTCTCTCCCCAGGAGATATATCACCCCGATAAGTTTAATAACTCTTCGCCGCAATCATCATCCCAGTTGTTACTCCGTTTACCTCAGCTGATACTGCCGAGCGGATTTTGATGGGTTATATATTATTTTAAATTTCTGTTTGATAGTTTGGCAAAAACATAATGACGTAGTTAAGTTCAATAAGTTGAGGAGCCTGATCGGAGGAGAAGCTTATGATATCAAGGAGCTCGAGATGAAAAGTGCTAATTACAGCTCCCCATGGCTGTCCTGGAGGCAAATAATTATGTCAAGGATCAGAGTGATGTCGGTCATACTGGATTTAAGACTGGCAAACGATTAAAATTGCTCTGGACAGCAGCTTTTGTTCACTGTCTTCTCATCATAATGATGCAGAAAGAGACTGGGTGTTCAGGGCGCTCATTCAGAGGAAACTACCAGCTATGATAACTGAACATATGGACCAGAAAATTAAAATATCTCTTCAATTAACAGAAGTTTGCAACAGAGTGTCTTGTATTCAAGCAAACACTTGTCATGACAAACCCACACCAGAGTCTCAACACAAAGCACTTCCTAAAAAAAGTTCCCTCTGCCAGCAAGATGACTTCTTGTATGCACTGATCAGGCTGTTGATAAAGGCACTAACTAGTACCCAAGTGCTTCGTGTCTGAGGGAACACACTGGGCGTCTGACAGTGTTTCTTACACCTGTGGCGTCTTCACAGAAAAAAGTAGTTATATGTAAAGAACGGTTATTAGCTAATAGTGCTTGTGTTATTTTCAATAAAACTGAAAATATAATGTTTTGTTTATTATCTGTCATATATTTCGCTACATATATAGGTAGGATGTTCCACATAATTGCTGGCAAATTTGAGAGCTTTGGTTGGAGTCTTAAGAAATAAGATAGATGAGCTAAGATTACTTGCAAGTGTAGGTAATATAGATATTATTGGCATAACAGAGACCTTGTTCAACCTGAAAGATAGAGAAATGCCTTCTGAATGATGGTGGGGTGGCGATGTATGTCAGAAAAAATTTAAACTGTTGTCTTAGATATGATATAAGATTAGAAACATCGAACACATAATCTGTTTGGCTACAGTTTCTCGAGGGACGTGACAAATTAATTTTGGGTGTGATTTATAGGCCCCCAAACCTTGATAGGGAGTGATGTAAGCTGTTATGGGACGAAATTCATAAGGCATCTAGATATGAAAATGTTGTGATAATGGGAGATTTTAACTTTAGACAAATTGATTGGAACAATATGACAGTAAATCTTGAGTCTAGTGACTTTCTTGATACGGTTCAGGATTGCTTTTTAGAACAGGTTGTGACAGAACCAACTAGAGGAAACAATCTGCTTGACTTGGTTCTTGCCAACAAAGATTCACTAATTAATAATCTTGAGGTTAATTATGAGCTTGGGGAAAGTGATCACAAATCACTTAGTTTCAATATATCATTGAATTACCCAGATAACTGCAATCAAATCTCTGTACCAGATTTTCGCTTGGCCGTCTTCATGAGACTGAAAAATTACCTGAGTGGGCTAAATTGGGATGTCCTGACTATGGGTCAGGTAGGTGATCTTGGCTGTCAATATGACGTTTTTCAGAGCATAGTTCTAGCTGCCCAGACAACTTTTGTTCCGAGTAGGGAAATTAGATCTAACAAAAATGATCCCAAATGGATGAACAATAGATTAAAACATCTCATTTGTCAAAAGAGAGGCATATATAGGCGTATCAAAAGAGGGGATGGGTAGTTAAGAAATCAATATATTCAATTAAAGAGAGAAATAAAGAAAGGAATAAGAAAAGCATAAAGGGATTATGAGGCTAAGGCCGCAAGGGATTCAAAGACT